AGTCATCGAAAGACTTGAAGCCATTTGTCCACAATCAAAAATGGATAAACACTTTCTAGGTTACAATAATGAAACTATTGAAAGCACTAAAAGCTATCGAACTACTTGTAAGAATGTAAAAGCTAACTACTATAGGGTAAACTAGAAAACTTGAAATAATTTATGTTGAAAAAGTCTTGTATATTGATTGTTTTGATTCTATCAATGTCTCTTGTTTAAATAGTTTACGATCGATAACCATCTTGGATTTAAAGTTAGGCACGAACGGTTATTAATAACTATCCCTTCATTTCCTTTATTCATGTTCTTTTATCGAATCTAGCTAATTGCAAGAGTAAATGCATCATTTCATTTAAGTCTTACTTGTTTCATAGAGTCTAGTTGGTTTATAAGACCAAACGTACCATTTCATTTAAATATAATTGTTTTATCGAAACTTGATTGGTTATAAGATTAAATATACCATTTTATTTAGGTCTCAATGTTTCATTGAAGCTTGGTTGGTTATAAGACTAAACGAACCGTTTCATTTAGGTCTTACTATTTTTTCATAAGAGAATACCCACTTCATCGACGTGTGACTTTTTAAATTTTAAGGTGCCAACAATTAGGTTGCTAACTTCTTTATCTCCAACCATTTGAAATTTGTTTAGAATATTACGAATGTTTGATTGAGAAGCAAATCTTCATCGGTGGGAATTGCTTCTACTCCTAAAAAATAATAGTGTAGATTACCTATTTTTTTAAATAGAACTCTGTTGCTAAAGTAGTATAAGGCATGGCTTGCTTCATAATTTGATGAAGCGGGAAAATGTGTTCCTACATTTGAATATATGCCACACAATGGTCCTCATTTATATAATTTAGCTACTATTTTGCAAGCAAAAATGCAAATTGCCAACATTATAATAGCCAATGACTTTCATCGGCAAGTTCGTGGAGTTTTGTGCATAAGATCTTGTCTTTGGATTTTGTTGTTCGTTTGGTTTTGATTTCGTCTATTAGGTTTATGTTTTCTTGTGTTGTGTTTTGATTTTGATGTGTATAAAAAATAATTGTTTGAGAATGATGATGATAGATTGATTTTTGCAAGGTCTATTAGTTTCATGTTAGAAATAGCCTTCTTTTCCTTGAATTTTTTTATTTCTTATCTTTCAAAGCCATTATTTATTGATTTTCGATTTCAAGTGAAGTTTAAACATAGTTTGTTTGTTTTTTTTTTTCTTTCAATCGTTTGATTATATGTGTTCTTTTAGTTTTAGACTAGTTAAATATTCGTGCTATGCCGTAGTCGGTTAACCATTATATACGTAAAGTTAACAATTCGTTTGACGTGATGCGAGCGGATGTTTTGTTTCTAAAGATTAATATAAATTGAATCTATATATTAAACAAACTTGTTTTATATATATATATATATATATATATATATATATATATATATATATATATAGTACTTAGCAGATTCGAGTATATAGAATAAATAAAAAATATAAAAAAAATATCCATTTAAATCACATGGAATATATCGAAGTGAATAGATTTAAATAAAAACTACTATAAAAATAGTTTTGATAAATTCGATTATATATATATAACTCTGTGAATTTTTTAACTAATTATTATTTTTTTAAAAAAAAATTAAGTCAAATTATCTAAACACACTTTTAGCTCTCTCTCCCTCGTCATAATTTATGTATGGAACTATGCTACTCTCATTTAAAAATTATAAAAATAAACAATCTTATAAATTATAATAATATATTTTAAAAAATAAAATAATCATGTTCTAAAATTTTATTTCAAAATCCATATATAAAAAATAAAATTTATTAACAAATAAAATTATATAAAATTAAAAAATTAATTCGATGAGAATTTTAATAAGAAACAAACAATTGAAGAAATAAATTTTAAACAATAAAAATAATATAATCGGATATATATATCTTCAAACTAAAATCTTAAAAAATATCATATATATATTCTATTATCATCAAACTATACGTAAAACTAAAAAAAATAATTATCATTTTATATATTTTTATACTAATTTTATGATAAAATAAATTATTGGAAGGAAAAAAGAAAAAAAAATGTTGGTTGAGACTGGATGTACAAGCCTATGAGCTAAGGCGAGGCCTACTTGAGCCCGCTTCTCCAAGGTTGGGCTGCTGGCTAGCTCTAAAAAAAAAATGCCACACTAAATGAAAAAAAAAACCCCTAATTGTTTTAGTTTTTTTTACAACATTAGTAATGCACATGTATTTCATGATTCTTGTAAATGTTGGAGGAAGAAGGACAAGAAGACACAGAATAACTACTCACTTTCCAGTGCTACATAACTGGTTCGGTAATAAAAAAATAATTTTAAAATTTTTTAATTTTTTAATTATAATTTTTTATTCACTTAATTTTTATAACTTTTTTTTTATAAATTTTCTACTTAAAAAAATACAATTCATTCTCCTTTATGGATTTATTTTAAAATAAAAAATATATAATAATTTTAACTAAAATATTAATCAAGAATTAAAAAACTTTTAAAATATAATTTTCATAATATTTTATTCTAAAAAAATTATAATTAATGGATAGAATTTTACAAAAATTAACAAATGAGAAAAAAAATCTTATTTAATGTTGAGGAGAAGATTACTTTTTGAAATTATCTGCGCAATGCTACGGATAGATAGAAAATCTAATTAAATAAAAAAACATAAATTTATAAAAATTATAAAAAGAACACCTAAGTAAAAAAAAAAATAGAATATATCATATAAATATAAAAATATTGTATATATTATATAATAGTCGGTTTGTATAAAAAAAAAATAACGATTGATTTTTCAGAATTTTAACACTTAATTAAATTAAAAAAAAACATAAATTGATTAAAAAAAAGGCCAAATTGATTTTTAAAAATAGCATAAATTGATGAAAAAAAAGCAAAGAAAAAAACCATATGTAATGCATCGGTTTGGGGATTAAAATTTTTATTTTAAAATTTTAGAGATCAAAATAAAATAAATCTGAAAATTTAAAAAAATTAAATAAAAAAACCTAAATTGATGTAAAAAAAAAAAAAAAAGCAAGGTGGGGTCATGTATAGTGAAAGTAAATTAAAAAAAAAAAAAACACTTGTTACAGTTATAGTGAAACTGAACCACTTAGGAAAAAAAAGAAAAAAAAGCCAACCGCAAAATCACTGTTCATTGAATAATGAAATGAACAGTAAACATAAACAGTAAATCATCTTTGTGTTTTAGAGCATTTGTAATAGTTTTTTTTTTAATTAACTTAATTAAAATTTAGTTCAAAGACATTTTTTGTCTTATTTTCCAACCAGTCAATCAAAACAGTCACGTGACATTTACAAAATGCCATATGGTAAAGATCACTAGGCACGTAAGTAAAATTGACTCTCAAATGACTTGAGATAAAAAAAATAAAAAAAAAAAAAATTGAACATAAAAAATACAGTTTTCTCATTTATTTTTTTGCATTAAAAAAAAGATGGAAATCTTTTTTTTTTTTTCAAAAAATAAGATAGAATAGTTGTGCAATGTACATAGGGTGCCTTAATCTGACGAAAGCTAGGGGGGTCATACATACATAAATATGCATATATATATAGAGAGAGAGAGAGAGTACGTTAAATTTGAACGATCAACAGTATATATATATGATAAACTTCCAAATTAATTTAGTGATCTTCATTCGTTGAGAGTTTGACAAAATAAGCAAGACGCACGGACTAGTGGTTTGGTTTATTTTTATTCTGAAAAACATCTTTGACAAAATATAGTTTGTGCATTTTTTCCACAGAAAAAATTAATAATTATGTGGAAAACGTAGAATCTGGGATAGTGCATGGTACGTAGCTAATAATACTTAATTGGTAAGTAATACAAAATGTATCTAAACTAAGATTACGCGATCAAATTATTCACAAGTCAACTGTTGGGTTGGTTTTAATTTAACACTCAGTCAATTCTTTTTAATTATATATGTTGATTATTAATTAAGTTGATTAATTATATATTCTCGAGTACTACTTAATTAGTTTTAATTAGTATATCAAAATTAAATAAAAATTCTTTTTCATTCATATATATATATATATATATATATATATATATATATATATCCAGTTGCAGTTGCAGCGTTTAATTAATTAAGAAGGCAGCTAGCGTAGAAGGTGAAAACGTGAGACAAAATGAAAACCTGTAAGACCAATTGCAACAACTAGCTAGGCCACCAAGTCCAAAGTCGTCCTTCCCTTACCAAACGCAAGAATTCCCTTGTTAAGAAAGCCCTAAAATCATCAACTTATTTATTTATTTACTAATTTACCAAGGCAATCTCTTTAGCCAGCCAATATGAAGAAGTAATACGATTGATGTATATGTCTCATATTTTGAGTTTTTGCTTTGCAATTAATTAAGACTCAATAGCTTTGATGAACTTTAATTCCGCTGTGATAAATAGTTTTTTTTTTCATATATTAATATTTATATTTTGAATAAAGGATATGATAAAGAACTTTCCTGTAAATCAATCGGTTTATATTTTATATTTTTTAACAAATTAAAAAAAAAAGTAAAACATATAGGATGAGAAAATATATATGACATTTTATTAAATTAAGTACGGTAAACAAATACTAAAGAATTAAATAATTAATTTTTCAAATTAAAAACTAATTAATCTATTTCTAAAAAATAAAAGGACTAAATTAGAATTTAGTTATTAGAGTACAACTGAAAATAATAATAATTCATACTATTACTCGAGCAGAATTTTAGATACACGACTAAGAATAAAAAATTAAACCGTATATGTCTAGACTCAACATTTTATTATTTTGACCATGAAACAATTGGGTGCTTATTTAGATAATAGTGACACAAGAAACAAACCGTTCAGCAGCTAGCGTTCAATATTCAAAACTCTCGATCTGATATGCCGACTTGATCTTTAATTTGTCTCCGTCTCCTATGGAGCACCATAACCCAAAATCCAAAGAACAACCCCATCAATCCAAACCCAAAAGGACCAGAACTAAGTTCACCCGTTTTCTTGGTTGTTTTGGGTTTTCCAGGAAACCAATACCATTTCCCGAGAAAAAACCCATCAAATTTGATTTCCACCCCGAAAGAAAGAAGTTAAAGAAACAGAGAAGTTGGTTTTCTTGGCCATGGTTTTGCATCAATAACTCAGGCACCAAAACTGTCCCCTTAGACTCTACCGTGCCGGACAGTAACCGAACTTCTAATGCTTCAAAGTCAAAGCGTCAAAAACCAGTAACCAATCCCGAGACGCCACGTCAAACACCGGCAAGAGTCAGTTCCGATCGAGCGCCGAAAGAGATGCCTGGAGAGGTATGTAAAAAATACTACTAACGAAAATTAACGTTTTTGTTTATAAGGCGATTTTAGCAAAATTTAGCTGACTTTGGCGAAGGCTGCCATTACCTGAAGCTTAATGATGATGGTCGTGTTCTGTTTCAGACATGGTATAGGTCTTCTGAGCAAGACATCATCCTCGAAAATGGGAAACCTTTAGATCACGTGGAGACTCCAATGGATGGCACGTGCAAGAAACGATTATGCTTTTGCCGGAAAATAGACGCTTTAAGAACCGGCACGAACCATCCCGGTTCACCCGAAGCCAAGGCAAAGTCCCTTCGAACCGTATCGACAACCCGATCAACATCATTCCCCTCACCGGCACATGAAAAATCAGTACCAAACACACCGGCGAGGTCCCGGGTGATGGTTAAGAAGCCTCATAAAGAAAATGAGAAGAAATTTGACCCGTTGGTTGGAATGTCGATTATTGTTGTGACCTTGATGATTATGTTGCTATGGGGTAAACTATGTGCCATTCTTTGTACTTCTGCTTGGTTCTACTTCGTCCCTCGATTAAGAAGTGAAGACGACACTGTGAAAAATGATTTGCGTACGAGGGAATTGAATTATGACTCCGAGGGATATAAGAAGAAAGTCATTTTGGAGGGATTCCTCGGACGCAATCGTCGCTCTATATCATAAATTTTGGTATTTTCGATGAATTGCCAAAACTGAATAGCGGCATCTATTATGTTTTGTGCATATTAATGGTCTTCAAAGTTTTCAAAAGCTAGCTATGGCCATGTTGTTACTTTTTTTCTTCTTCTTCTTCTTTTTTTTTTGTTAAAATACTAAAAGGGAGCCTGAATGTGGCATTTTGTGTAAATTCTTTATAGCATATGTCTAAATTTGTCAGAATGTTGGTCAAAAGTTCTAAAAGTTTGCATAGTTTCTATATTTTGCTATTTTTTGATTGGCTTTCACAGGTGTCGCATGATGTCGAAATTACCAAAACGATTTTTGTAGATGTAAAGAATCTGATGGCTAGATGATGGTTAATGCATGGCAGCAAGTTTCTGCTCTCTGTTTCTTCTTATCACTTAACCATTAGAAAATTAAGAAAAGACACGGGCAAATCAGAAATGTTAATTTGTTTTGGTCAATTACTCCATTCCAGTATTATAGATTTAGCAATGTTTATTTTTACCGGTGAATTATGTTGGAAAAATAAAAAAAATATTACCTCAAAATTTTAAATGAAAAACACCAAAACAGACTTTACCAGATATTTTATAGGTGATATTTTTCTATTTTTTCAACAATTTGAAACGATATGAGTCGTTCGTAAAATTTTATTTGAAGCAATGAATCAAAGATATACTCGCATGTCATCCCAAAGATACGAGTAAACTCACTCGTCTTGTCGTGCCTTAACAAATTTGTCCTATTTGTAAGACTTGAAACACAATTATAAACTATACCAATCTTACCCAAAGAAAAAATTATCAAAAGATAATATGGCTTTTTAAGTGGGAGACAAAAAAAAAAAAATTATTGGAAAAGGCAATATATATATATATATATATATATATAAACAATAAGACTCGTGAGCAGCTTTATTAAAAGTCAAGAAAAAAATATTTATTATAGTGACAAAAATCAAATATGATAAAATTTTAATATTTATTATAGGGACAAAAAATCAAATATAATAAAATTTAAATGACTAAAATAATAAAATTTTACAAAAAAAGGAACTAAAATAAAAATAAAATTCGCTAAAAGCCAAAAGAAGGGCTTAAAAAAATACAAAAAGAGAAAAAAATGATTTATTATAGGATAAAAATTAAATATAATAAAATTTTAATGGTCAAAATAAAAAAGTTACAAAATAAGGATTAAAATAAAAATAAAATAAAATTTTAATATTTATTAGAGGGATAAAAATGAAATATAATAAAATTTTAATAACCTTGATAAAAAATTACAAAACAAGGATTAAAATAAAAATAAATTTCACTCGAAAGTCAAAAGAAGAGCTTAAAAAATATAGCAAGAGGGAAAAAATGATTTATTATAATAAAATTTTAATGACTAAAATAAAAAAAAGTTACAAAATAGGGATTAAAATGTAAAATTAATTTAAAGCTAAAAGAGAGGCTTCAAGCAACAAGAGAGAGAAAGGAAAAAAAGAAGAAGAAGAGATACACGCAAGGCAAGGCAGGGGGAAAAGAAAGAGAGAAAAAAAAATTAACCTAGGCAACGTAAGGCCAAAAAATAAAAAAATAAAAAAATAAATAATAAATAATAAATAATATATATAAAAACAGTAAATGAACATTAAAATGTTACAAGTACTTTAGCGTTTTGTTTAAATTTTTCTTGTAATAATGTTCTGTTACTTTGAAATTCTCCAATGTTGTTTTTATAGTTTTTGAAAATGTTTGAATTTGACCCTCAATTATTGGATAGTTAATTAAACGCAATACATGGATTGCCCCTATTTTTTCTTTTTTCTTTTCACTTTTTATGTTTTTTTAACTTCGTCTTTTCCTTCCAAACCTTTATACTTGTGATAACAACCATTACAAGGAATTATTAAAGCTATAGGAATAACATGGTAAAATGCCAAATATAGAGATTGAAGAGGAACATTTTTCAATAAGGGCCAAACACAGTTTACTAAATATTTAATTGTATATTTTATTCTTTATTTCTCGGTTGGTATTGTTTCTTTCTTTTTTCTCTTTTCTTGGTAGACGGGTATTTGGTATTTGTATTTGCCCTTTTTTTTATTTCCTCGATAGTTATCCGAAAGAACCAGTAGTTTCCTTAACCAAGGAAAAAAAAAATTAAAACAAAACAAGCTGGATTTAAAAATATGAACAAAACATAGAGTATTTCTATGGATTTAGTGATTACCAACTCAGTTTTTGTTTTAAATAAAGCCCAAATAGATTGGGTTTGAACTTTGAATATGTATGCATGTATGTGTGGGAGACAGACAAGGCTATGCCCTCCTCCTTGTCCCTTTCATGTCATCTTCGTGACTTCGTGTAGAGATAAAATCAAATGAAAAAATATATTTAATTAAGTAGCGAATTTGTACGTGTAATGAAGATATCATCGAAGCTTGATTTTTCTTAAAAATACTCTTAACCTTTTGTTATATATAGTCTCTATCTTCTTTTTCTTGTATTTTTTTATCAATAAATTAATTCTAATTAATCAATAGTACGTTGATAATTAAGTATTAACTAGTAAGTTAGATTTGAGATTCGATTTTTGTGACTAACATTTCTGAAAATTTATTTTTAAAAAATTCGAAACCGTGTGTTGGAGAATATCTCTTAATCACGTCCAAAGATAAATTAATCTTAAGATGCGCAAAATCCGATATGAGGAGATCGTTATTGTTGGGGAAAAAAAATTCTAACTAGCACCAACATCCTTGTTTCTCAAACTAATGCGCTTAGTACCCACAAAGGGAAAAAAAAAAAGTTTTTCACCAAAAAAAATTAAATTAACAAATAGTCTATTATCATTTATACAAGAAATGAAAAGCCTAGATTGGTACATATCATTCCTGCATATGCAATAAGAAAAGCAAAATATTAAAGAAGAAGAAGAAGAAAAAGAAAACTGACAGATAGAGAATGTGAAAATTGGAAAATTAAGTCTTAGGCAGGAGAGAAAAACTTGTTGCTACCTACTCCAACAACTTAATCATTTTTGCTACCTAATTGATATTACCTATGCTATTTTCTTTTAAAATATTATCGATCAGATGGATTTTTTTTTCAAATCATTTCAATATTCATATAAAATTTATGTTTTTCTGATGAAGACATCCATAATTATACTTCAAGCATCTAAAAAAAATTTAACCTTAAATTATCAAATTTAAAATGAAAACAATATAAGGGAAGTGGAACAAGGAAAAAAGAAAAAACAGAGGTAGAGATACCAGTCACCCTACCACTGATTTTTTAAGTGCACCCATTTGCCGAAAAAATAAATGGACCTGGTATAAAAGGGCCGAGGCCCAATATTACCGCTTAAGTCCTGATCCATGATTTGCCCCATAAATTGTTATTTAAAGATGCTCTAAACCCTAATCTGCTCTTTTTATTCCCCTCCACTTCCTTTGCAGCCAGAGCTCTTATACTTCTCCGCCAACAATGGTATCATTTTCTATATCTCTGTTTCTCCTTGCGATAGATCTTTCTTGTCGATCTTTGCATCTGGGTTCTCTGTTTCTTTTATTTCTGACGTCGTGTACTGCAAAAAGATGGAAGCTTTAGTTTTGTTTTGTTATGATTGAAACTGTGATTTATGAAGTCTCGATTCATTAGTAATCAAAGAATTTGGTTCTTTACATATCTGTTTCTTTGTTTCGGTTGTCTGTGTTGTCTAGTTATTGTGGTGTTCTCTTTGGTAGAGATTTGGTTGTGTTATCTAGAGAATTTTGCTGTTAGTGAAAGTTTGATTAGCTGTGTTATCTAGAGATTTTTCTGTGTATGAAAGTTTTGCTGTTAGTGGAAGTTTGGTTTTGAGAATGGAAACTTTTGGGAATTGAGGGCTTGGTTATGAGTATAGTGAGTTACATGAGAGCGAAAACCGCTGGTTTTAATAAAGTAAAAGAGAATGAATTTAATGTTGGATCTACTGCTTGTTTGATGGAATCCTGTTCCAGTTACATCATGTATTTGTACATTCTTCAATGTTCTTTTTTGAGTTGTGATATTTGAGAATTTGTGTATGAGATTGCTTTATATTTTTCCTTCCTTTTATTTTGATTGATTAATAACATTTGTATTACAGGTGAACGTTCCGAAGACAAAGAAGACCTACTGCAAGAACAAGGAGTGCAAAAAACACACCTTGCACAAGGTCACTCAGTACAAAAAGGGGAAGGATAGCCTAGCTGCTCAGGGGAAGCGTCGTTATGATCGCAAGCAATCAGGTTATGGAGGTCAGACAAAGCCAGTGTTTCACAAGAAGGTTCGTTTTCTTGTTCCTTGCACAAACTTGATATACCTCAAGCTCCTCTAGGATATAGATCAATATTTGATCTTTGTTCATCACTATATTGTAATTTGCTTGTATTCAATGATAATAAAAAATATTGCATGATGTTTGATTTTGAAAGCTTGATAGTGTACATGTTATCATTACCAGAAAACATCTTTTAGCAGTTTCGGGATATACTACTCTCTGGAGGCCTGTGATGATTAAAAATTTGCCGACATTGTCTGATCATCTAATGAATGACAGAGACATATGATTAGTTCTGAGGCCTCCTCCTTTTTATCCTTGCCATCATGGTTGAGATTAAGATGGAAAATGCTTATATTGCACTTGCTATCCCACATAAAGTTATCTTTTTATTGTTTCTGAATTTTCTCTTTAGTGGCCTATGATGATTTAAATTTGCCTACATTGTCTGATTGTCTAAGATATGACAGAGACATATAGACTAGCTCTGAGGCCTCCTCTTCTCTTTCTTTTTTTTTCCCCCTTCATCTTACATGGATATTGAGTCTTTCGTGCATATTTGAGATTGGATATTGATTTCTCTTTTGTTAACAGGCGAAGACAACAAAGAAAATTGTGTTGAGGCTGCAATGTCAGGCATGCAAACATGTGTCCCAGCATCCAATCAAGGTTAGTCATGCAAGCCTTTTTCTTATTGTGGTTTTCTTTCTTTGTGATTTCAGTTGTGCTAATGTTTTTGTTACTGCCAATGGTTTCCACAGAGGTGCAAGCACTTTGAGATTGGTGGAGACAAGAAGGGAAAGGGAACATCTCTGTTCTAAGTGAATCATTTTGTTCTTTCGGTATAACTTTTAGGGTCTACTATTTCTAGAACTGAGAAGGCACTATGGGGTCTTTTTTTTTTTTTTTTCAAGATTCTGTATCAGTGAAGAAGTTTGAGGTCATTATGTATTATTGATTATGATATTAATCAACTTTGAGCCTATAGTTTGTCTTTCGATTCTCAAGTGCGTACATAAAAAAAAGGAAAATTGCAGTTGCTGGTCTTGTGAAGTTAAGCTGGTAGGCCACAAGGCTACTTCTAAAGGTGAGCCTTAGCTTGTTCCTGGGTAATTAAGGAGTTGGTAGGGGGTCTGAGGAAGCAACTGATGTGCATCATCTGTCTGATCTCAGATTGGACTGTCTAGCCTGTTATTAGTGGAACTGCAAATGTCTCATCCGGCTGGCTGGCTAGCTAGCTAAAGCTGGAAGCAATGCCCTTGGAACTGAATTTCATCCTTTCCTGTTGACTTGCATTTACTGCTTCAGAAGGGTCTGTCCTTGTCATTGAATTCTCAGTTACTGTCTGTAAGGAAACTTTGCTGCAAGTCTGCACCCCTAAAATGCTAACGGCTGTAGCTTTCATCGATTTTTTTTCTTGAAATGAAAATCTCATGTTTCAATCCATCTGATAAGGGTCAAAACCCTAAACTTCCCTTCGCTTCCTAGTTGACGGTTAGAGTCTTAGTCATCTCATTTTCTTGTACAAACCAGAATGACGAGCATCTTAAACTACTACCGTATTTCTGTTACATATGAGATTCGTGTAGTCTGGTAAATCATGATTGCTGAAACAAAAGTCGTTGGGCATGGGAGACAGGAGGAGACAGAACGTAGCCTGTTTCTACGAAGATCAATTCAACCAACAATAAATATTAGGTTAATGGTTCAGGACTTTTTTTTGACACATTCTTTTGTTTTTACTGTGTTCTATTCTCTTTTTTGTCTTAAATTTATGTTTTGTTTTTGTTTTAATTTTGTATTTTCATTAACTTTCTAGGTTAATGGTGTTAAATTGCAAAGTTACTCTCATAAGATTGCAACGTGTGTTGATTTATTTTTGTCGTCACCTCTCTCTCTCACTCTTTTTTTTAATCAAATTTAAAATAAAATATTTATAGTATTTTTTTAAAAAATATATAAAAAATACTTTTAAGTTAAATTTTTTAACTTTTAAATGGTATTTATAATTTTATAACTACTTAAAAGATTTTATTATAATTTATTTATTTTGATTTTATAAATTTTTTAATTTGACTCAAAAGTAAGCATATAAATCTTGTTAGGATTTTTTAAGAATATAAAATTTATTGCAAATTTTGGGGTTTATTCTCTCATCTCAACAACGAGCTCCCATGAAAATCGTGAAAAATTTTATATTTTTTTATAAAAAAAATGATAACAATACTAGAATTAGAGAAAAAAAAGGTTTACCTCACATTCGGATATTGTACCCTTCGAATTTTTTTTTCTTTATTGAAGCTCTCTATTTTTTTTTTTAAGCTTGATTGAAATGTTTTACCTTTAAAAATTTATTGATTCAAACCCTTACATTATACCTTCATCAACTATTGATCCTACATAGCACGTTACTATTCTCGACAATCAATCACATATTGACACATGACATAATGAGTCTTAAATAATAGCATTCTATCTTAAATTAAAAATAAATAAACTAATTTAAATAATAAAATAATAAAGAGACCATAACAACCCTACCTTTTATTATTTTCAACCCAATTCAAAAAAGTCAATCTGGTTGGGGGCGCTTTACGCTTGTAAAGGTCTGTGGTTTTAGGGGCCGACAGGATTTCGGTGGGTGAGAGTTTCGAACTATGGTGAGATAGGGTTTTTGGGTAAGTGACGGTGGAGATTAGTTATGCTAAGGAGGTTTTTGAAGTAATGGTGTTTCGGGGATGTGGAATTATGGTAGTGGAATAGTTGGCTAGGTTGGAGTTATCCAAAGACGGTCGTCGAGGAGGTTTCAAGGCTATAGTGTTTTAGTGGTCGTGGGTTTATGGTCGTGGAAAAGTGGACTCGATTGGTGTTGTGCAAGTTTAGAGTTCGAAGAGAGAGAGAGAGGAGAAGAAAATGGAGATATGGTTCTTGGGGCTAGAGATAATAGGAAAGACCATGTTCATGAATTTGCTTTAAAATGGCTTCAAGGTCGCTATCCGGAATAGAACTCTCTCCAAGTGTAATGAAATGGTAGAGTTTGGTGCATTAATTGGAGAAACTATCGCACAAGTAGTTAAGAAATGCAAACTTACTATTACCATGTTGTTCGATCTTGCCTCTACACTTTCAATGTTTTTTATTTATTTATAAAGATGTTGTAATTGAGCAAATTGGCGAGTGGAAAAGGTTATATTGACATGTCCACGATTGATCCCGAAACATCTTTCAAGATCAACAAGGCAATTACATCAAAAGGCTATGCTTTCCTTGAGGCTCTTATGTTAGGTAGCAAATAGTCTGCGGAAACTAGTCAACTAGTAATCCTTGCTACTCGGGGACAAGGAATTGTATGAGGAAGCAATTCCAGCATTTCATTTCTTAGGGAAGAAGTCTTTCTTTTTGGGGTAAATTGGAAATGGAGCGAAAATGAAACTTATGGTGAACATGATAATGGGCAATGTGATGAATGCATTTTCAAAGGGATTGATGTTATTAGAAAGGAGTGGACTTAACCCTCATGATCTTCTTCAAGTCTTGGATCTAAGTGGAATTGCTAATCAAATGTTTATGGAAAAAGAACCAGCTATGCTCAAGAGTAATCACTCCCCAAAGCATTCCCTCTAAAACAAAGTAAAAGTTTCATTGGGTTGGATGTATCTTGCCATGGGAGTTTCATGGGATTGTTAGCAATAATATTAAACAATTAAACAAAACAAGAAGTTTCGTAGGTCGTTGTCTAGATTGTTACAATAAAAAAAGATAAGAGGGTTGGGGGCAATGTAGTCTTTTTTAATTATTTTTAAATACTAAATATTAGTTTAATAATAAAAACTTTTTTATTTTTTTAATTTTGAACATATACTCGTTAGAGTTGGGGGCCCACTATGCTATGTGTTCATCTATGATTGATTATCATTAATTTTAACATACCACATTAGATGAATAGTTAACGGAAGGTCCGAATTAATAAATTTGTAAGAGTAAAGGATTTCAATCAAACTCGAAAATAATAAAAGGTATCAATAAAAAAATTTTAAATTGTATAGGGATCAATTATGGGGTAAACTTGAGACAAAAATGATAAAAAAATAAATTTTTTATAAAATAAAGTGAATACAAGAGATAACAACTCTAAACAATTCTATTAATCTTTACAAATACTTGCACACAACTAAAGAACAATTAAGTCTATTTATAGGCTTCAAAATTAGGAAGAGAAATGAAAATGAATATTAATAATTAAAAGTACATAAATTGTTGAATCAATTGCATCACCTTTCAATTTCTCATATTAAATGATAAATTAAATCACATTAAGAATTATGAGTAGTAGTAGAGATATGAAAAGCATATGACCATTCATATGAACATTCATTATTTCATAACACTCCTCCTTAAATGTCCATCATACAAAAAACATGCCTCATTAAAATCTTATAACGAAAAAACCCAAAGGAAAAAAATCCTAGTAAGGAAAAAAAAATACAATATTCCTTACACATATTAATCTTTATGTTGGGTTCTTCCTATTGAAAACATCATTTAAGATCTTTAAGACAATGTATCTCGGTCTTGAAAACCATTTTCTCAAAAGTTATGATAGGTAATGCTTTGGTGAATAAGTATGCAAGATTATCACTTTGATGTATTCTTCTTTTAATTGAATTATGCAACAAATATTATTTTCATATAATATTATTGGAACTTATTTATCGATAGATAAACCTTATATCTCTCGGATATGATGGATCGTTGATTTTAGTCAAAAAATTCTTGACTTACCTTATGAATTAGTATTTCTACATGGTTTGAATATCTAGCAACTATACTTTACTTCATAAAATGTCATGATATAATTGTATCACTTGAAGGATCATGCGTCCTATGGAGATATAGAATAAAAGAAAAATTTTCTCCATTTAAAGGTTCAAAGATCATGCCGTTGAATCAACTAACTATATATTAAAGTATTAAATAAAGAATTACCTCTTGTAGTGCATATTTAAATTCTTTAGCGGACTAAAGAAGTTGTTTAAGCTTCCGACCTCTATTTATGTTCCATGCGGTCCAAACACAACATAAAAAGCACTCAAAATTGATAGAGTGCTAGCTCCACCTTTTTTTAATTTGTTTAGTGTTTTACTTTAGAAATCTAATCAAAGTAATTTTTTGATAACTCTAAGAGAGAAAGAGTAAGTGGCTCGTGCTAGGATTTTGAGGAAAAATAATTTTCTCCTTAATTTTGCTCAATGTTGTTTGACTTATTCTTTTCTCCCTTGGTTGTGTGTCTCTCTCTTGATTCATCCTTGTTATTTTCATACCTCTCTCCCATATATATATATATATATATATGGAGAGGCTTCCTTGTCCTCTAAGGACAAGGAAGGGGTGACAATGAGTCCCTAAAGGACTCTAAGTTGTTGCTTCCTAGTCTTCTAAGGATTATGAGTTATTATGCATGTAGGTTTTTTATTTTATTGTTTAAAACATTTATCCTTATCTAATAAGGTTCATGTTTATCATCTCACACAACTTGTCTTTCAAGCTTTAATTAAATTTATTGGCCCAAACCATTTTGACCTAATTAATTAATTTGGACTATCTAAATCAATTAGGTTAGATAATTTTAGATGGCCCACATTAGGAAATAATTTCCCAAAATAACCTTAAACCTAAATTAGGAAACTAATTTCCTTTTTAGGTTATTTATTCTAAATTTAGGAAATTGATTTCTAGAATTGAAAACTTTTCATTTTAAGAAACGTCTCATTTTTGAAAACCTTTTCCAACATCTTTGCTTTTCTTTTATTATGTAAATGCT